CATGATCAGAGGTCATGAGAACAGGCCTTATGAGAAGAGGCTGAGAGGTATGCGACTCTTCAGCCTGGAGAAGAGAAGGCTCATTGATGGCAGCCTGCAAGTGTATAAGGGGTGTACATCAGGATCTGGGAGACCATCTGTTCACCAGGGCACCTTGGTGACAAGGAAGACAAGGTCTACCAGTCACAAACTGCTGGAAGACCATTTTAGATTGGACACAAGGAAAAATTTCTTTACCATCTGTGTCTCCAGAGTTTGGAATAGACTCCCCCCCAGAAGTGGTCCAAGCACCTGCTCTGGATATGTTTAAGAAATGCTTGGATGCTTACCTTGCTGGGGTCATATGACCCCAGCTGACTTTCCACCCTTTGGGCAGGAGGCTGGACCCGGTGATCTTGCAAGATCCCTTCTAGCCCTAAAATTTATGAAATCTATGAAACCTTGCAGTGAAACCAAAACAAAACATAAACCAACTAGTCTCTAACACAACCCTTAAACCCCTACCCTTGGGTCTCTCTGCAGAACCCTCATCCCCACTCTGGTTCCCTTGCAGTCTTCAGGGTATCTTTCCAGGCCAACAGCTTCCTTTCTCTAACAGTTTGCGCTTACAGGAACTCCTCTCTTCAGAGGTCTGGGCCAGACTGAGTTCTGATCATCTACCCCTGGACTTTAAACCTCTTCCAGTCACCTGCTTCTGGTCCTCAGAAACTAGCATAGTTGTTTCTACTCCATAGATTAACAAGCTCACCTCTGCTGTTGTCTATCTGTTCTATAGGCTCCACTTCACTGCTCTGCTGGGGTTTTGCCTGAAGCCTGTTGTAGGGCAGCTTGCTCCCAATTAGTTATCCATAACCTTGTAGCTCCAGTCTTCAGACTCCTTTAGCTGATTACTTTCTAGCAGCTGCCCTACTTCCTACTGCCCTTGGTTCCTAATTCAGCTGCCTACAATAAATTGCAGCCCCATACTGCTATCCTTTCACTCTAATAGTAACAGGTACTCTTGTTTTCTATAAGACAGATGTAAGGGTACCTGTGCTAGTATATTCCAGCACAGGAAAGATAAATGGAAGAAGAGATTAAATGAAGGAGTTCCTCGAATTCATTGAGTTCCTCCAGTCCTCACTTAGTTGCTATTGATTTTGGTTATAGAAAATTGTTTTAATGTTTTAATGTAGCGTTTTTAAAACTCAAGATACCCCAAAGCAGAAATAAGTTAATAACCATGCAGGCAAATTAAAAATAAGTCAGTATATGCTCAACCTTAGTTCACATACAGCCTCAACAAGTAGAGCCTTGTTGGACCTTCTTGACTTCAGCAGGGTTTGGTGAACTGAAGCGGTAAAGAGAATACAGGCTAAGACACAAGGTTTATCATTTTTCACGAAGAACTCTCTATATAAAGGGGACTCCATTTTCAAGAATAAACAAGTAAATGAGATTTCCACATCTAGTATGCCAATGTCTATTTCACATGTGAAGTGAGCTTCCAATTGTGGGATTTGGTTGTCTTGATCAAGTACCCACGTTTTAAAATTGTGGGAGAGGTGAAGAGTCACAACTTAAGTTAGAGGTCAGAATTTCACCTGCAGCAGAATTCACATAATAGTAAAATAAACATTGATCTCTATTTTTCTGTTGTTATTGTTTTGATCTACTTAGCATTTTGATCTTGATGTCACATATGAAATTACAACAGGGAAATGACTGACTTTACTTTGGAGAAAAATTACTGCACCTAGGTCTCTCAAATGGAGCTTACTAGAACTGTATTTAATACTCATAGAGGGGGATTGAAATCAGCATTGTATATTTAGATAATACTAGTAGCTACAGTGCAGATATTCTTCACTTTGTTTTAACCATGTGCCTTGGCTTTGATCTGGAAGAGCCATCCCTTCCCTCACACAATTTGAATGCTAGGCTGTGGACACATGAATGTTTACTACAAAATAAAAAGTAAAGCAGACACATGTACATAGCTGTACTATGCAGGAAAGCACTTCAATCCAAGGTCAAGTTACTCGTTAAAAAGTGTGGTAACTTTATTTTGTGGAACATATCAAGCATTCACTTCCCTAAGTAGACTGCCAATGAGGACACCAATAATGATAGGGTGTATAATATGAATACCTTGCATAAGATTGAGACCAGCAACTCATTTTACACAGGCTACTGAACAGTAGTCAGAGCCCATGGACTATTTATTACTGTATGACTAGCTTCAGTCAAATCAGTGACGAAAGGGTGCAAGATTCCCTGGTATACTATTACCATTATTTATATATATTTTCACAAACCTGGTACATATTTCATAGATGTTAAGAATGAATCTATTACCCATGTTTTCAGCCATCTATTCTCCCCTATAGATAACTGTAGTTTTCATCTGATGTGTACACATTTATCCTAGCAATTAGTGTTATGAAGACTTTGCTGTAATTGTCAGCTGAATTAGATTTTTATGTCATCACCCAAGAGTAGCCTATACAGTTGCCATGGAAATTAAGTGAAAATTTCATCTTTTTTGCCAGGAGACTATCTATGGTTTTGAAAAGGTAGAGTGCAGATGGTGTGGGACACCTCACTGCAGCAGGAGAGTTAACCTCTGTAAGCAGTGGAAAGAGTGCACTATACACCAGGGCTTGGCAACCTTTTACGTAAGGTAGACCACTGCTTGCAACCCAACTGCCAAGACCGTAGATTTTCTATTGCCAACTCAATTGTCCTGGCTCTGTGTAGAGCAGGGGCAGGCAATTCTTTTGGGCAGAGGGCCACTTACCCAGTTTTGGCAGGCTGTCAAGGGCTGCCTGGGTAGCCCCGCCCCTTGACAGGTACCCCACCCCTTGACAGGTGCCCCGCCCCCTGGTCACCATCTTGGGATCAATGTCCCAGGGCCAGCACTGGTGGGGCCCAGAGCAGGGCACAGGCCGGCAAGGGTCTGTGGAGCCAGGCTGGCCTGCACCAGCAGGGAGTGTGGAGCTGGCCCAGCTCCATAGAGCCCCTGCCGGCTGGGACCCCCCACTCCTACCACCCTGCTCTGGGCCCCACCGGGACTGGCCCTGGGACACTGGTGTGGGCCCTGTGCTCCCGCTGGCTCCCCAGCCACTCATTCCCAGTGCCCCCCAGCCCCGCAGTATAGGTGGGGGGCAGCGCTGAGCCCTGACCCCCTGCTTGCCAGCAGGGAAGCTGGTGCTGAGCATGGGGAAAAGTGGCCCCTCGCTTGCTGCATGGCCGGCGCTCCCTGCTGCAGGCGCTCACAGCCCACGCAGGGCTGTCTGGAGCAGGCACAGGCAGCTTCATGCAGGCTGCAGGTGGCTGCAGCGTGGGGCACTGGCCATGGGGCAGGCGAGGGGCCACTTTTCCCCATGCTCAGCACCAGCTTGTAACCCCTCCTCCCCCACTGCCAGCCTGGCAGTGAGGCTGGGTTACAAGCTGGTGCTGAGAGCAGGGTGGGAGGGAGAAAGCAGCCCCTCCCCACCCCATGCCTGGCGCCCCACGCTGCAGCCGCTCACGGCTGGCCTGGGGCTGCCTGTGCCTGCTCCAGACAGCTCCGCATGGGCTGCAAGCACCTGCAGCAGGGAGCACTGGCCATGGGGCGGGTGAGGGGCCACTTTTCTCTGTGCAGGGAAGGAGCCCAGGGAAAAGCTGAGTGTGGGGGAAAGCGGCCCCTCCCCCACCCGGTACCCCATGCTGCAGGAGCTTGCAGCCCGCATGGGACTGTCTGGAGCGGGCACAAGCAGCCCCACATGGGCTGCAAGCAGCTGCAGCGTGGGCCACCAGGCGTGGGTGGGGAGGGCCACTTCCCCCCCTCCTGCGCTCCTTCCCTGCCCAGGGTTCCCCGCCCCCACACACTTATCTGAGCTTCCCGTGCCAGGGCAGCCATGTGCTCCCAGCCTAGAAAACCCGGCTGGGGCTTCCAGCTGGGGGGGCAGGGCCGGGTGGGCCCCACTGTTGTGGGAGCCCATCAGGTTTCCCCTGGGTCCTACTGCCGTTGCTTCCTGTAATTTTTGACAGGAACCAAGGGCAGAGAAATATTAATTTTCCACATTTTTTTAGGGGCCCCGCGGGCTGAATAGAATGGCCTTGTGGGCCAAATCTGGCCTGCAGGCCATATTTTGCCCATCCCTGGTGTAGAGGCCCACTCTCTCATCCCCCTAATGCAGCCTCTGCTGAAAAACACGCTTCCAAAAACTGTGGCGAGGAACAATTTGGAGCAGTTAATCTGGCAGGAATAGTAAGCAGAGGCTGCATTAGGGGAGGCAAGAGGGCAGTACTTCTCACAAAACCAGGATAGCTGGAGTAGCAGTGCGGGATTGGCATATTATTAGTAAAACATGGAACACATTGGACAGGAAGGACAGCAGCAGGGGACTGGCATGCAGTTACTAAAAGGCCAGATTAGACTTTCATGGGCTGGATCCAGTCTCTTCATGGGCCATATCCAACACACGGAACCTAAGCTGCAAACCCCTGCATTACACACTTGAAGCAGGGGGGTGACCGCACCTCCCGCATCCCCCCTTGTCTTTATCACACACTTGAAAGATAAAAGAAAGGAATGTGATCATATCAATACCTTCTGAATGGAAGACAGATATTGCTGAAGTAATTTGCCTCCAACAGCCTATTTGTGACATGGGACAAATCCTACTGCCCTTACTCAGGGTAAACACACATTAACATGGGAACTTGGTAGGTTTATGGTTAGTGCCCTGCTGACTGTTCTCAACATTCATTTCCTTTTAAAAACCTTCCAGCCTGGTTTTTCTCTAATAGTACTACACCACAAGCAGCAGATTTTCTGCAGTACCAATACTAAGAACCTCAAAACAAATGACCCATCTGCTGAGCCACAGGGGTTGCATCTACAAAGGACTCTTTTTAAGGGTCCCATCAAGGAGCTCCACTCGTGGTAGGACTAGTATAGACAGGCTGCCAGCCTAGCTATGACATAATACTAATGATGGTAATTGATGTTACCAGCTAACATACATACTTACAGTTGCATTTCTTTTGTACAAATCTAAGTTTGCATGCTGTTCTGTAGGTAGATAAACGAATGCGATCCAGATCTTGAGCCCCTAGTGGAAGAGAATTATACATATGGTATAACACTGGCACAGACCAAATCTCTACAATAAAATGAACCATGTTTATACTTCTTCCTTATTGACGATATACACACTGAACAAAGAAGATAGTAATATTAATGAGCATTTTCAAAGCTGTTTAGTTTGTTTTGGAGTTGTTGGGTCCAGATTCACAGTGCTAAGTCTTTTATGAAGGAAAGCATTGAATATTCAGTCCACTGTGTATCACTTTGGACAACAGTCTAGTCCAGCTGCAGACTAAAAGGCAAACTGGCCTGACTCCAATACCAGGGAAAATCTCCATCTAATTTTAATATTTAACAATGAACAAAAAATAAATAAATATTCAGAACTAACCTGTATGTTCAGAATAAGGTACTTCCAGAAGACCAAATTAGAAAACAAATTACAACTGCTGAACTAAAAATGTCTAGATGACAAACTTCAGATCAGACGCACACACAGGCCCCCCTCTACACGTTAAAGTATCATACAATTAACTGGTTAATTGTGCAAGTATCTTGAGACCAGCTACACACACAAAGTTACTTATCACGCCATAAAAAGCTCCAACCAGCTCCAAGTTAGACCTCAAAAATGTGTGCTAACTTCATAGCTGGTTGCTATTGAGCTTTGATTTGCACGTGTAGCAGGGTTTCCCCTGTGGCTGGGAACTAGGGCTGTGCGAAACAGCATTGCTTTGTTTTGACTTCTGTTTTGCTGTTTTGAAGGGACAGTGTTTCATTTTGTCGTTTTGCTTTGTTTTGAAGCAGGGTCTCATTTCATTTAATTGAAACTGTTTTGCTGTTTTGACGTTTCGCTCATAGGCTATAATGGGGGATCATGAAAATGCCTATAACTTTGTCATTTCTTGCCTGATTCAGATGAAAATTGCAGGGATGGTAGTCCCTTCTGAGGGTCGGATGCCTGCCAAGTTTCAAGGAGACAGGGGTTTCTGGGAAACTGCACCTCAAGGTGCTGACAAGCAAAACTTGTGTCACTTGCCAGCAGCGGCAGCCTCCTGTCATCCCAAGTGCAGATCTGGGAGCCTGCACTCCTGGAAGGGATATAGGCTGTGCTGGACTCCTCCTGGGGGTGCAGGCCCCTGGATCTGCACTCAGGATGACAGGAGGCTGCTGCCTGGGACTGGTACTGGGCGCAGCCTGCACCCAGCTCTGGGAAGACTGGCGCTGCCACTGGCCCCAGGCAGCAGCGGCAGCCTCCTGTCATCCTGCACACAGAATTGGGGGCCTGCACCCCTGGGAGCAGTCCAGCAGCACTGGGAGGGTAGGTTGAGCTCCGTGGGGCTGGCAGAGCTGCTTGGAGCACAGTCCTGGCTCTCCCAACCTCCCTAAGCCAGGATGCACTCTGAGCAACTCCGCCAGCCCCATGGAGCTCAGCCTGGGACACTGCCCACTATGATGTTTTGTTTAAGTTTTTCTTCGACTGGCTAAACTGTATTCATTACTGTGATTATTCTTTTCTCTTTGTTTTGCAGTTCAAGTCTGTGTACTGTAAATCTTCTACACTATTTTGCAACTTGCAATAATATTAGGTATATGAGTGGAATTTACAAATGAGGCAAGCAGGAAACCTCTTTGACTTTGTATTGATTTAAGACCATACATAGCATTTAAAATAAAGTTTTTAGTATTATTTCATAATGAGATTTAGTTATGTGATCGTTATGCAGTTACTTTATATTGCTCACTGTAAGTCTCCAGTTAAAGATAAATGGCAAATATTACTCATCTTCACTTCAGTCCCTGTCAAATACCTATTCAATGCGAGTGAAAACTGGGTCATCAAAGTTGAAGCATTTCTTTATTTCAAGGCAAGCAGTCATAAGAAAGCACTGACAGTGAACCCAAAAGTCAGTTAAAACTCCCTGAGAGTGACTTGGGTTTTTTATATGATGCATCAATTAACTGCATAAAAATTATCGTACATTTTGAACACTTTTAGCATTATCTTTATACATTGTACAAGGGTTGAAATTATCATACAAATACGATAATTATCACACACCTAGCAATGTTGCTCTTAGCCCCAGTGGCCTCTGGGTGCTGGCAGCACACCTCCCAGTGCCAGGACCAAGCTGGGTCCCAGCAACCATGGGGCATGGCTGCAATCCCCCAGCCCTGGAGGTGTATGGAGCCCCTAGGGCTGGGAGTTCACAGCAGCTGTGTCTCCCAGGCTCCCCCTGCATTGGTAGTAAGATGCGATTGGATCTAATGTGCAATCCCACAATCACACCTCCTGCTATGCATGTATGACATGGCAGGAGGTGCAATTATGTGGATCATGCATTAGATCCTATTGTGCCTTTATCTGCATGTGTAGAGGGGCTGTCATGCACACACTGCCAAGAATGAGCTAAGGTCCACTCAGTGCAGTGGGAGGCTGAAGCACTTAGATCCCTGATGCATATACAGATTGGCCCTGGCTGCTATAACTTTCAACTCTGGCAGAGTTCCCAAAGCAAATGTCTGCACGATGAGCATAGGTAGAAACAGCAGAGCTCTGCTGCTGCCTTTGCCTGCCCATGACATTTCATCTATGCCAGGGCTGGGAAGAGACATTACTCAGAAGCCAGGTATATTGATTTTACTTCAGCTGATAGCTTCACCCATGCCACCAAAACACCAGCAAATGAGGGAGAGAATCTGGTCTGGATCCTTAACTACTACATTGCCATTCATTATTTATAATGCATTTTAAATAGCTGAAAGGTAGATGAATAGATTTTGCTTATTCCATAATACAGGGGTATCAAACTTATGGTCCACAAAGCCCCTGAATCCAGCCCCTGTGGCTGTCCATTGACCCACACGCTGCACCGGACTGGCCCTGTGGCATATGCAGCACTAGCTGGGCCTAGTATGAGGCTGTGTTGCCTGCAATGCTCACTGGTGCCCGGTCCTGGGCTGCACCACCCAGAGAGGGTGCATGCACAGGACCAGAATTCTCAAATATCTGTCTTTTTCAATGCAATTTCACCTATATAACATTAGACTGTAAATGGAATAGAGTACAATGAAATATGGTCCAGTCCTGTATTTTAACTGCACTTTCCAAATCCTTTCTTTGAGAAGTCTCTAGACATTAATAGGGTCATGTGATTTGCAGTTGTATGTATGGATGTGTGTTAGCATTATTCTCCCATTCTTTGTTGGGCAATCTGGCACTTGTTGGACCTAAACACTTCAAACTTTCCTGGATCTGAGACAAGAAGAATGAGATTTTGATTTCTTCCCAGCCTCTGCTCCATTCCTGACTAGGTTCGTCCATGCCATCATCCCAGGGTTCTCTGCTAGTTCCCTTTGCCAGTTGGCTGTCTTAATACCATCTGTTACTGGCAGAAGTTACCCTCAACTAAGCATCAGGCTCTGAAAGTTTTTGATATTGCTCAAGACATGCTTTGCTGTTAAATTACTAGGTTTTTCTTTTCTCTGTTAGGATCTTACTGACAGCATTTGGAAAAACTTAGGTATATTTTTTGTAACACTAAGTCTTCTTTTTATTAGTCAGAATCACCATGTACTCTTTTTCCATACACAGCAGGAAAAGCCTGTAGCTTTTAGTATCTGCTTCTGTCACTTTAGCCCCTTTACAAGATATAAAGAAGTTAAAGGATCTTACCCAATATGCGTTTTGTAGGGAGTGGTATTAAGTGGTGCTGAGGGAACGTATATTTAAAAAATATTGCCATTTCTGCTGTTAGGACACACTGTGATTTTTATTATTTTGGGGAAAGACTTTCTGGACAAATGGAGTAGAAAATGCAAGAAATTTATTGGCCTTGCTTCTGTTTCATATATAATTAGTTTTCTCATTCTTCAAATTCCACACAGTCTGAAATTTGGTTTCCAAATAAAGACCTTGCTTCCACAGAGGTTGTGCAAAAACAAATAGTAAGGAGCATGTGTGTGCACATGTGAATATGGCAAATCAAATATCAAGTTTCTAAGTTATCTAAATCAAAGGTGTCAAACTCATTTGGCCCCACAGGCCAGATGAGTGGACTGGGACCAGTCCAGTCACCGGATCAGTGCATCCAGTGTATGCAGCACCTGCCCGGGCAGGTCCAGGACACTGGCCTGAGTGAGCACTGGCAGGTAGCACAGCCTGGGAGGCTGGCCTGGGTAAGTGCCATGGACAGCAGAGGATGCTGACCCCAGTGAGGGCTCTGGGTGGCATGGGTTAATTGTGTGCAGCATGTGGGTCAATGGGGCAGCACCATAGGCCAGACTACAGGGTTCCACAGGCTGTATCTGGCCCATGAACCATATGTTTGATACCCCTGCCTGAATTGCTGACAAAAATAGCTTCACCTGCCTTTGTTCAGCTCAGGGCTGCATTTTGTTCTTTTCAGGTATTCTCATCACAGGCAATACTGCTGTCAATTTGAAAATAAAACAATGCAATGAACTGCAAGCCTTGTCTGGTGTTTTCAGACTTTGCCACAGTAATCTTTTTCTCCTGGATAATGTACATCAGCACCCAAATGGAAACAAGTTTTCCTGTCCATATTTGGTGCTACTTCCACCAGTTAACTCCCCTGTGAATATATGTAAATATGTAAGATAAATCTATTAGTATTTCATTTATTTTGACTATGCCTTTTTGCCTTTTGAGTTTTGAGAGACAACATCAGGCTGTGCCTTTTGAGTTTTGACCTTAGCATTCCATGTAAGATAATATTAGACAGGACACTAATTCATATAAGATTACAATTGGCATCTGGAAGAAGAAAAAAAAATCAATTAGTTCACTAATTGGAGAGATGCTTCAGATTCTGCCTATCATTTCAAATATGAATGCCACAAACTGATCTATGCCTTGTTCAGGAAAAACTCTCTATTTGGAGATCACACTCTTTTGAAATTAAAGGGATTTATTTATATGTTTAAGTGCTTTGTTGAATTGGGAACTTATTTACCTAAACTATATTTATTTTCTGAATCCTTCAATCTTTTCCTTTTTATTCAGTACTTTTAATGCACATTTTCTTGCCTTTCTTACTTTTGTGTGTGTTAGGGGGAAGCAAATTATATGAACTCTTATGTCATCTACATGCTATAAAATCCAGGGTCTATGACAGATTGCTTTCTTTATTCACTCATTTCATTTGTGCTATTGTAGGCATTACATCTTTTTATTAATTACTTCTGCATAGCTATCCTTCTTCTATTTTGGTTTCATAGTAGAAAAATGAATTTTGTAGAATGAGATATCAATTGCCTGGAATAGAAAGTTCACATGACATTTACCGATGTTAGATTATATCCAGTTCATTTTTTGCAGTGGAATATTTATACAAAGTACTCACGCATTTCTGCAAACAGCTGCCTTCTTTCTGCCATGGTATTTCCTCTTTTCCCACAATCTTCAATCATTCTAGAAGACAAAAATCATCAGAAAATAGTTCATATCATTCACCAGCTGAACATAGCTGTACATATCTTTGTAATAGTTCCCACAGAAACTTTAAGGTGAACTACTATGGCATGTGTCCACATCAGCCCTAAAACAGCTTTTCTGAGGCCCCTTTTGGTGGAAAGGCATTACATCCTCTTCCATACACAAGACTTTGCTTTCTCCTGGCTCTCTTTCCACTCCCAAAAGCAATGTTCAGTTTTTCAGTGTTATGTGACTATTGATAACCAGCACAAAATACAGTATATCATACTTTGCAAACATTATCTCAAATAAGGGGATCTTATGGATTAATTATATAAAGATAGAATAAATAAAAAAGATGGAAGTCATTAGTATTTCTGAGTTTATAAAATGCCTCTCTAGCCACCTGTACTCAGATGCATATGATTATTATGATAGACAAGATGAACACCTTATAAAAATAAGACAATATAATTTAAAGATAATTTCAAAGAAAGCTTGAAGAAAGGAGGTGGCTTTTTAGACAGGCAAACTCAAACCATAGAAGAATTTGAGTTTTATCCAAAAATGGAACAGATACAATCTTCATTAGCCGCTCAAAATAATCCCTCTAGCAAGCCAGCATCACCACTCTATGGTCTGGATTTTACTTCAGATAAGTATTTTTAACCTAAACACCAATCTCAGATAGAGTCTATGAAATAAAACAGAATGCTCTATCTGCATGCCAGAGACACTGCAGCCCCACTGTTCATGGCCTCCTATAGGTTAGATATTTAATGGGAACGGGAACAGTAAAGAACTCTGAAGCCTACAACACAAAATTTCTAAGGATAGAAAAACAATTTGCCATATCCCCCAGGATCACTCAGAAAAAAGAAGGCAGTCACTTATGACTCTCCAAAGCAGCTTTACTCGGTCTTCTCATGAAGTTTAGTGAAGTTAACTATTTATAAGAGGTGCTATATCAATGGTCCTTATCAGTTGCTATTGCTGGAAAAATTGTTGAATATGTTTTTTCTAGAAAGATTTTTCAGTTATTGTCTGTCTTCTGATACTATTGAGAAAAGTGCCAAAGGTTTCATCTGACGTGGATGTTTTGTGATGTGAACATCTGCCCCACTAGGAACTCAAGAAAGACTTCTATGTCACTTCATACAGACTACTGAACTTAGGGCAAGTGGCAGCATTGTTCTTACTATATCAGCCAGATCTGGTCTCATATCAGTACCCATATGATGAAAGTCTGTGTAATCCCCTTAAACATCACATGAGCTCCCCACTACTGGATATTTCTAATTGAGTTTTTAATAGCAGACAAATATTTGCAGTAAATTTTCATCTCTCTAGGTGTTGATGGGCTAATAACAACCTTTTAAAAGATTATATCTTTCAGTAGTCAGGGGTGTTGAGGAAATAGTTTCTAGTGAATACATTTATTAGATAGACACTTATGAATGTAGATGAATGTCTATTGTTTAAGAATTGTCCATGAGCCACTTAAATTTTTCTGAGATTTATTTTATAGTGTTATTCACTGAATCATTTCTACTGTTGCTCCATATATTGTTTATAACCAATTAATTACTGATACTTGATAATCAAGTTACCTGGACTGGTTAATTTTGATTTGGCATGGGGGTCATACACCCCATCTTTCAGTTTCCTGGTTAGAATGACTTAATATTTACGAGCAAAACCTTTCATTTACAAATTCAGAATCATTGTCTAACAACTGCATAATTATTATTGGTTTCATGAACATCCCTGCCAGTAGACTCATTTGCTGAAATACCGTGGAAAACATATGCAAAAGGAATGCAATTGTTTCAGCTTTTTTTCGTCATGTAAAATGTTTGAAATATTTCCATGTCTCCCATTATCAGTGTCTGTTTATATCTAAAGCATACTGCTTAGTTATATATTATCTTTCCTTTCCTTCTCACATGTGGGTGCCTCAGTGAATGCGGACGAGCCCCCCTCCTTGAAGACGTGAAATAAAAGTGATGTTTTTCAAGCCACATACATCATACAGCAACTTCTCCATTATCTTAGGATAGCACATAGTCTTTCACACATTGAAAATCCTCAGTCTTTCAAAGTGCTGAGAGTGGCCTTTGATGCAACCTTATTCTGTTTTTATTTCTGCCCATATTTCATAGATTTCATAGACATTAGGGCTGGAAGGGACCTAGGAAGGGCATCAAGTCTAGCACCCTGCCCCAGGGGCAGGACGTCAGTTAGGGTCAAAAGATACCAGCAAGATAAGCATCCAAACCTTCCTTAAAAGATTCCAGAGTAGGTGCTTGCACCACCTCTGGCGGCAGTCTATTCCAGGCCTTGGGGGTTCGGACAGTAAAGAAATTTTTCCTTATGTCCAGCCTGAAACGGTCTTGGAGGAGTTTGTAACTGTTGGACCTTGTCATCCTTGGGGGCTCAGGAGGTGTTCGACCAGGTCCTGATGCACACCCCGATGTACTTATAGGCTGCCACCAGGTATATTTATTTTTATATATACAAATATAAAACAAGATATAAAGCAGAAAACAAATATAAAAATAAATATATATCAGTTATTCTTTGGAATCATACCAGAGTACCTCAAATGCATTAACACATTTATCTTCCTGTTATCCAAAGAAAGAATATTCATCTCATTTTATAGTTTTGTAAGCATTCAGAGAATTATTTGACTTGCCTAGGATACCATAGGAAGTCTGTGGCACAACCAGGAACATTAGCTTAGGTCTCTGAAGCCCCTGGTGAATACAATATGTTTATCACCAGACGATACTGAAATGCTATAATACAGTGGTGTTCAAACGCCATCCTGCAGGCCAGATCTAGCCCATGGAACTTTGTCATCTTAGCCATGAGACTCCCCACAAGTCCAAAAATTTGGCAGCAGGGAAGCAGTGGCACCATGAAGCACTTCCAGAGCCACAGCAATTAACACTACCACTGTTCCCCGCCACCAGATTTCCAGCCCAGTTGGGAGCACTGTGGTCTAGATGATATATATGGTCCTGTGTGCCAGATCATGCTGACCTGCAGGGGTGCACTACGGCTGGATCGAGCACATGGGGTCAGGCCGGCATACCAAATTACACCCACAGACCAACTGTCCACCACAGATCTGGCCCACAGGGCCAGACAGGCTGAGCAGTACTGTTATAGTGTTACACCTTATCATCTGGGAGTCATGCTTTGAGGACCTTTTGAGACCCTTTGAGAACTTTCTTCATGTTCCAGAGACTCACTATTTAAATCCAGTAGTACTTACAGGAAGAGATGTGTGACAGACATATTTTAAATGACAATTCCTGCACCAGTATTCATCTTCAATACTAGTGTTTTTTCAAAGACAACTCAAACAGCAGTATTTGAGCAATAATAGAACAAAAATTATGTACAAGTCATAAGTGCTATTGAGTGTCAGTCATTTCAGCTAGCCACCTCCTATTCCTCCTTTGCATTTTACTTGTCTTTCTGTCCATAAAAAGGAGAAAACATTGTTACATGAAGTTATGTAAAATTATTTTTTGTAAGTTCCACTGCTAGAAAGTTCAGCGTATCTATACAAATTTACCGCACGATTATGAGCTTATACTAAAAGGCACCAACATCTTGATCTACAGGTTATTACAGCAACCCTTTCCTCCAGACCCACAGACTATGGGTCTGGCAGCTCTTGGAAACAAAACTTGACTATAGAGAATTTCAGCTTGAGATACCCAGAGTTCAGTCCCCAGTGTTGGGTCAAAATGACTTTAAACATTACCTCATTCCATTTGTTTCTCTTCTGCTTACAGAAAATAGCACTTAAAAAAAGACTAACTAAAAATTAAAGAACTAAACACTAAAGAAAAGATTATATAACATATGTAATTCCTATAATATGGGTTGTAGTGTATTTGTCTTCTATTAATTCCTTCCACCATTCATTTTACTCTTCAAGAAAGAAATTTTCTATGTGGGCAGGAAGAATACCACAAGTGTGGTGATAAGAGAGACAATAAACTTCAATGTACTGCAGATGCTCCTCCTGAGAATCTGAAATCTGCTTTCAACCACAAGATTTTCAACCTCTAAAAATAAAGGACTTTCTTTTATTTGATATTGATATGCTGAACCAATTATTTTTATTGTCACTTCAGTACAGCTTCAGGAAAAACAACAAATAAACAGTTCATCCTAATTTATCATTTTTATTCTAACCTTCTCCTTTCTGTCCATAAAATGCAGAGTATACTTAATGTATCCAGGTTGTAGCCGTGTTGGACTACAGGAAAAAGCAATCAGGACTCATGGTGATATCTTTTATTAGACCAACTAGATATTTTTGGGGAAAAAAAAAAATGCTCAGAGACACCTCACCAGATGAGAAATGCCTGCCGAGAAAAGCATTCCATCTATCTACCCCTCTGTGAAATATGAAACACCATAACAAGAAGGAAACATGAATACATCCTGCTTAACACCAAACAATTTTGAGGTAAACAGACTATTCCAACTTTTCTCTGAGCCTAATCTGCACATAAAATGAACTTTTCCAAACAGGAGATTTTACCACAACTTCAACTCTCCTATGAAATATGAACTTTCATTTCAACCCAGGACAACTTTTACAATCTTTTCTCCAATGCCTGATGATGAAGGGTGTTTGTGCCCGAAAACTTGCAGTAAAAGACCTTTTTTTGCAAAAATCTAGTTGGTCTAATAAAACATATCACCTCAACTACAAGTCCTGATTGCTAGTATACTTAAAGCATTTTTAAATGTAAATATTTTTTATAATATCTAGGAAAACAACAGAAGAAGAAAACAAAAAACATGTCCCCCTTCCTGGCTGCTGGACATCTTTGATTTATGAATATTGTAACATACTATAGTAAGTCTAGTCCATTTTCTAATTTTCTATGATTCTATGTTGGGGATAGTTCTGCTTTGAGCAGGAGGTCGGAGTAGATGACCTCCTGAGGTCCCTTCTAACCCTA